AAGAAAGAAAAAGAAAGCCCAGCTCTGGCCAGTTTTGCTCAGTGCTTAGAGCGTCAGCCTTGGGACCAGAAGGTCTTAGGTTTGAATCCTGGTAAAGAGCATGCACCTGGGTTGCAGGTATGATCCCTGGCCCCGGTCTGGGCATGTTAGGAGGCAACCAATCCATGTGTCTCTCTCACAGTGATGTTTTTCTCTCTCTTCCTCTCTCTTCCCCTTACCTCATTACTTCCCTCCACTCTCTCTAAAAAATCATGGAAAAAATATTCTTTGGGAAGGATTAACAAAAAACAAACAAAGAGAAGCCCAGTACTCACCTGATGGGCTGTACTTGAGGTCACTCAGAAGAGAGGGGGTTGGTGCCTCAGGGGCAGGAGGAGGCTCACATACATTTAAGTCTTCGTCTTTCATTTTACCCAAACTGGTTCTTTCTGTATTTAGACTATGCTTACAAAAAAACAATACTCAGGTGAATTGTTCTTTGTTGCTAATGCCATACACAGATTTTGCCGCACATCAATAATATTATAAGAACTCTAGATCTCCACTTCCTAGAGGACCCCATTCATCCACTGCTTACACGGATCTGAATATACCATCTAAAGATGGAAGAAGCCCTAGGCAGCACTGCTCTGAGGTTACCACCTCAGCCTGGGCACCGGAGGGTTGCCAGTTCTCTTCTCAATTTAGGGCATGTACCTGGCTGGGCAACAGGTCCCATCCCCAACCTGGACGGGTGTGTGTAGGCGGCAACCAATCAATGTGACACGTTGATGTTCGTCCCTCTTTCTCTTCCTCTTCCTCTTCCTCTCCCCACTCCCTTCCACTCTCTCTCCCCAAAAAAATAATCGATGGAAAAAATACCCTCATTCCTTAGGTGAGGATTAAAAAAAAAAAAAAAGATTTGAAAAAAATATCCATCTATTTTTTTCTCATTTCTATTACCCAACTAGTGAATTAGTCAATGCATTCTACTCTAATGTGTACATAATAATAAAGAAAAGTATTCCATCATACCTAACAGAGGATGCTTTTTCTCCCACTGTACCTTGTTCCACTTCATCCAGTAGTTCCACTGTAAAAGAAACAAATGGGGAGGATCCAAGATGGCTGCTCGGGTAGACACCTAACCGCAGCAGCACACAACAATTTCAATGGGATACAACTAAAATGTAGAGTGGACATCGTCCAGAGCCACAGGTAGTTGACTAAAAATTCTACAACAAGAAGGAAAGAGAAAACCAGAAGGAAAATCAGAGGAGCTGAAAAAAAAAGCCTAAGGTACGGAGACATGCTGCGCGCCCACATGCACGCAGAGAGGTCGCAGCCGGAGAGGAGGAGAGGGCTGGGTGCTGCCTGGCGCTCCCTAGCAGGAAGGAAATAAAAGCCCCAGACTGGGCTGAACCCCCAGACCGGCTGTGCTGAGCCCCAGTTATGGGCCAGACCCTGGGGACCCAGGCTCAGGCGGGGGAGACGGGGCTGTGAGGCGGAATCCTAGAGGAGCGGCGAAAAGCAGGGCCCCCGGAGTCGCAGGCACATTGCACGCAGAGGACTGAATGTTGACTTTGACGCTGGATTACCCTAACGTGAAGAAACAAAGCCTTTGGCGGCGCTGAGCCTCAGTCCGGACTGCTCTGAACCCCAGTCCTGGACCAGACCCTGGGGACCCAGGCTCAGGCAGGGGGAGACGGGGCTGTGAGGCGGAATCCCAGGGGAGTGGCGAAAAGCGGAGCCCCCAGAGTCGCGCGCACTGCGCGCAGAGGACAGTCTGTTGACTCTGATCCTGGACTGCCCTAGCGGGAAGGAGAAAATAAAAAGCTCCAGACTGGAGGAATGCGACAGGGAGCAGGAGCCCCTGCCGGACACCAGCCAGCCGGGTGCCGGCAGGGAGCCGGGCGACGGGGCCCCCGGGGGGGAGGTGCCCCTGAGCCATCGACCTCTGAAGGCGGGCAACGAAGCCAAGGCCGGGGGCTGCTTCCTGGGCGGCGCCGACCCCGGCAACAGGCTGGAGCAGCGCGGGAGCCCGCGGAGAACAAAGGGGTGCCATAGGCCAACCTGCTAAGCTCCCAGGACAGGAGGAAGAAACCAAAGTTCTCAATGTGAAGACATCAAGTGAGAGCAAAAGATAGTAAAATTACTTAAGAAAGAATACAAAGAAGATCTTGAAATTCAAAGACTAAGTCAGAACTCAACTCACCAGCCAACATTGCAACATAAATGCGTTTAAAAAAAAAAAAAAAAAAAAGGACAGAATGTTGGAACAGAGGCGGCCAGGCCTAGAGTGCCCAGGCACAAAGAAATGGCAACCGGGCCTGGAGCAGCAATGGCCAGGCCCCAGAGCAGCAGCAGCCAGAACCAGAGCAACAACAGCCAGCACTGGAGCAGCCAGACCTGGGGCAGTGGCAGCCAAGCCCAGGGTGGCCAGTCCAGGAACACCCAGACCCGGAGTGGCCAGGCCCGAAGAAGCCGGGCCCACAGCAGCCGGGTTGGGAGCAGCCAGGTCCAGAACAGCAGTAGCCAAGCCCAGAGCATCCAGGCTGGGAGCGGCCAGACTCGGAGCGGCTGGGCCCGGGGCAGTCGGGCCCAGAGCAGCCGGGTCTGGTGTGGCCAGGCCCGGAGCAGTGGCTGCCAGGCTGGGAGCGGCCAGGCCCGGAGCGGCCGGGTCTGGTGCGGCCAGGCCCGGAGCAGCGGCTGCCAGGCTGGGAGCGGCCAGGCCCGGAGCAGCCGGGTCGGGTGCGGCCAGGCCCGGAGCAGCAGCAGCCAGGTCCAGAGCAACTAGGTCGGGAGCGGCAGTGACCAGACCCGGAGCAGCTGGTTGTGGAACGAACCAGAGCAACAGAGGCCAGGCCCGGAGCAGCCAGGCACGGAACAGCTCGCTCTTCACCTGCCCCTGCCCCATGGCTGCCTCTCAGACATGGCTGGAAACTTTTGTGGGAACTTGAGGGTCTGCTGAATCAAGTGATGAAGGCTTAGATCTGGATGTGTTGAGTTAGTATAGTGCTGGGTGTTGATTTGTGAGTGCCTTGGGTGGGGCCTGGATGAGGCTGGTTGACCTATTTGGAAATGTCTTTTGTGTGAAATGTATCATTGGGCATGTGGTGGTATTATTGATATGAGAAAATGCTAAGTAACTGATTTACTATCTGAAAAGGGATTTACTATCGGGGAAAGGGAGGGAGGAAGAGACTGAACATAAACTGCACCTATGGATGAGGACAATGGGGGATGGGGAGGGGGCGGAGGGTGGGGTGGGAACCTGGTGGAGGGGGGAAGAAATGAGGAACCTTTGTAACAATATGAACAATAAAGAATGATTTAAAAAAAAAACCAAAAAAAAAACACACAAAAAAAAACAAATGGCTTCCAACAGTTTCCAATCTAAAAGCAATTAACACCTCCATCTGCACCTGCCCACAGTTTGTCCATGTACCAAAACAGTGATTGGAAATAAAATATTAGTCCCCAGAGGCCTTTATATGCTAGCAACAGAGTAGAAAAGACTATCCAAAGTACTCATCACTCCTAATATTTTTATTTTTCAATTACAGTTGATATTCAATATTTTATTAGTTTCAGATGTATAGTATAGTGGTTAGATATTATATCTTATGAAGTGTTTACCCCAATTAGTCTAGTACCCACCAGGCACCATACATATTCCTATATAATAAAAGACTAAAAAGCAAATTGTCCCCTCGGGAGTTTGACCAACCAGGAGTTCAACTGCCCACTATGACATGCGATTACCACCAGGGGGCAGTGCGGAATAAAGGAAGGCCCCAGATGGCAGCTGGCAGCCAGCAGCCAGGGGAAGGAAGGCCCCAATCGATTGGCACTGATGGCCCGCCAGGCCTATGGGCCCTACCCATGCACAAATTTCACGCACGTGGCCTCTAGTTATTACAATATCATTGACTATATTTTCTATGCTGTAATTTACATTCCCCATGACTATTTTGTAACTGCCAATCTGTACTTCTTAATCTTTTCACAATTTTTTTCACCCAGTTCCCGAATCCAACCCCATCAGGCAACCATCAGTTGGGTTCTCTGAATTTGTTTCTGTTGTTGCAAATGGTAAGATTTTATTCTTTCTTATAGTCAAGTAATAGTCCATTGTATATATGTACCACATCTTCTTTATCCAAATGTATATCGATGGACACTTAGGTTGCAAAGATTCCTAACTCTATGTCCCTTTGTAGCTTCCTTGGCCATTCAGCAGGATTAGGAACCTCTCTAACTGTTTTGTTTACCTTTTTGTTGTTGTTGTTGTTCCAGGGCACTCTGAGGTCATACAGATTGGTTCTAGAAATATCTTTTCTTTTCTGTTCATTCCATTTCCAATGCATCTTTCTTCACCCTGCATACTGTTTGGAGGTTTTTTTCTTTTCTTTTCTTTTTTTTTTTTGTGACAAGAATGTTTATTAACTGGCTCCTACATAAAGTCCCAGTCCTGGAAGCCATCAACAAACTCCATGGCCTTCACTAACCTTAAGGTCACTGACCTTTTTTCTTCTCTATCAGAATCATTGATTTCACAGGGGTGAGGAACGTCTGGCCTGTGGGCCAATAAGGCCCATGGCATCATTTGGTTTGGCCCTGCCAAGGCATTAGGGGCGAGTTAATTAAATATTTTATTAAATATGGCAGTTAATATTGTATGGCCCACAAATGATGTTATAAATATACAGTGGCCCTTGGCTGAAAAAAGGTTCCCCATCCTTAGTTTGAGGCAAGGATGGGAGGACAGGAGTACATGATGGGAGGAGCCAGTCCAAGCAGAGGAAGTGTGGCCTGGCAGAAGGCTGAGCTGTTCTTGTCCATACCTGGGGCAGCCCAAGAACCCTCTAGTCATCGCTGAGCCAATCTACAATAGTTCAAGGGCAGCTGTGATCCTTGTCCTTGAACGGGAAAGATCCAGAACAGGCCAAGCCCAAGTCTGTCCCCACAGATCCATTTCTCACTGGGGCAGTGGCAGAGCTGAGGTGTCTTACTAGTCTTTATTCAAAGGAAGAGGTTGCCTTTCTTGGCCTGCGTTTTGACGCCTTGAACTTCTCAGCTAGGACCAACTGGCACTATTCAGATTCCTTCAGGAAGTATGGGCGATGGCCCTGCTGGGCCTGAGCCCGGCGCTCCTGCTTCAGAGCCAGGCACGGCTCCTGCTGCCACTTTCATTCCTGCTGTGCCATTTCTTGCTGCTCCATTCGCTGAAGCAGCTGCTGCAGCTTCTCATGCTTCTCCCCTGCACGGTGCTTCTTCAATTGCTTTTTCACAAGCTTTCTCTTTGGCTCGGATGTCATTTAGGAATTGATATGTTTTGTCAAACACTTCAGGATTATATTCCCCTGACAAATAGTAAAAGTGGAGGTCCCAGGCTACCTCCTTACTGATGGGGACAACTTAACACAAAAATGGCACTCAAACCTTCGCTGACATTTCCAGAGGCCTGTGCTTATCTGTAACACATGCATTTTGGACAGGTGGTCTAAAGTCTTGCTTCTTAGTGCTGCTTCCAGCTACGAATTGTTTGTGTGTCTTAGTCCCCACATGGCTCTGCAATTCCAACAGCTCCTCAAATGACCTCTCAGATGTGTCCTTCCACAGGCTCCCACCCCTGCTGTCATCTCTGCTATCCCTGGCCCAGCGGGGAGAGCTGGCGGCAGACCTGGAGCGGGACCTCACTCTAGACATCAGCTCGCACAGTGTGAACCTGTTTGGGGTTTTCTATGAAACCACATACAAATCTATCCCTTTCAAACTCTCAGAGGCTAGTACATTAATATTTCAGTGACATGAAAATAAAAGCTAGATTCAAAATCACAAAAGAAATATGAGAAAAAACATTCCATGAGATTCTGAAACAATTTATTTTTAACCTAGCAGTGCAGGAATGTAAGGAAATATTATAGACTAGAGGCCCGAAATTGGTGCACAGGGGGAGGGGCGTCCCTCAGCCAAGGCTGCACCCTCTCCAATCTGGGTCCCCTTGAGGGATGTTTGACTGCCTGTTTAGACCCGATCCTGATGGGGATTGGGCCTAAACAGGCAGTTAGATATTCCTCTCTCAATCCAGGACTGCTGACTCCCAACTGCTCACCTGCCTGCCTTCCCGATGCCCCTAACCACTTCTGCTTGCCAACCTGATCACCCCCAACCACTCCCCTGTCAGCGTGACTGATGTCTAACTGCTCCCCTACCAGTCTGTTTGCCCCCAACTTCCCTCCTCTGCCAGCCTGGTCACTCCTAACTGCCCTCCTCTGCAGGCTTGATCACCCCCAACTGCCCTCCCCTGCTGGCCATCTTGTGTCCACATGGGGGCAGGATCTTTGAGCACATGGGGGCAGCCATCTTGTGTGTTGGAGAGATGGTCAATCTGCATATTACTCTTTTATTAGATAGGATAGAGGCCTGGTGCACAGGTGGGAGCCAGCTGGTTTGCCCTGAAGGGTGTCCTGGATCAGAGTGGGGGTTCCCTTGGGGGATGGGGCGGCCTTGGCAAGGGGCCTGTGGTGGTTTGCAGGCCAGTCATGACCCCTAGTGACCCAAGCAGAGGTCCTGGTATCTGGGATTTATTTATCCTCTACAACTGAAACTTTGTAGCCTGGAGTGGAGCCAAGCCTTCTGCTGGCTCTGTGGTGGCAGCCATTTCTGTTGGGGTTTATCTATCTTCTATAACTGAAACTTTGTAACCTTAAGCAGAGGCCAAAGCAGGCCAGGGCTGCAGAAGCTTGGCTTCCTCCATCACCAGGGGCAACCCTAGCCTCCTGCTGTCTCCACCTCGAGGCTGCCACCATTTTGTTGGGATTTATTTATCTTCTATAATTGAAACTTTGTAGCCTTAAGAGGAGGCCTGGGCTGGCCAGGGTGTGTGGAAAGCTTGGCTTCATCCATCATCGGAAAAACCCAAGCCTTCCTCCTGCTCTCTACTTGGCCCCAACCATTTTGGTTGGTTAATTTGCATACTCGCTCCTGATTGGCTGGTGGGTGTGGCTTGTGGGTGTAGCAGAGTCATTGTTGATTTGCATATTGATTGTGGCTTGAGGGTATAGTGGAGTGATGGTTAATTTGCATATTATTCTTTTATTAGATAGGATCATTGATTCTAAGATGCACATTTTACTTTTTTTAAAATATATTTTATTGATTTTTTTACAGAGAGTAAGGGAGAGAGAGAGAGAGTTAGAAACAACAATGAGAGAAAAAAATCGATCAGCTTTCTCCTGCATACCTCCTATTGGGGATGTGCCCACAACCAAGGTACATGCCCTTGACTGGAATCAAACCTGAGACCCTTCAGTCTGCAGGCTGACGCTCTGAGCCAAACTGGTTTTGGCTAAGATGCACATTTTAAACAGCTCTGAAATTGGATATGACTCACAATTGAAAGCCTTTTTTTCCCCCCTTAGGGTGGGAAAATAATAGTGTACCTTACAATTAATGGCATCTTAGATTCAATTGTGTATACTTAGTTACTTCTGAGGAGAAAAGGCTCTCAGGGGTCACTAAACTTTCTCTCTGTCCTTATCCCTCCCTTCCACTCTCTCTAAAATTCAATGGAAAAAAATATCCTTGGATGAGGATTAACCACCACCACCACCACCAGCCCCCCGGGGAAAACAAGAAAAGAAAAGAAAGAATCCCACTGCTGCCAGCACCATCACAGACATTGTAAAAAGTAGTTCAAGGGACAGAGTTTTACAGTAGCATACTCAGTGACTAAGGACAGTTAGATAGCTAGCTACAAGTGGATCTGGATTGGCAGTCATTTAATTTGGTGAGATTTCCATCTCTCCCTAAATTCTACTTCTCTCACAAAACAAAGCAAACTTTCAAGCAGCAGTAATTTCTCCTTTACAGAAGTCCTTTCCTTTACTCCTATTTGCCCCAATGTTAAGAAATGCAGAGCTCTATGCAGACCCAGATCTCCAACTCCACCACCTTCTCTTCCCTGCCTGAACTTCATTCCTCCCGGGAGGGATTTCTGCTTTTCAGTTCTTGAAAGCAAAAACAGTTCTTGCTCCCAGCCCTTTTCTTAGCCCATATCGCTTGTTTGAGAAACACTGACCAGATGAGCTTCTATACTATTATATTACAGGCAAACAATTGGAGCTACTCTTGCTAAATGGCTTTTGTTGGCAGAAATAAAGAACAGAGCTGCTTCCTGTGATTCCAAAACCCAAAAAGCTCTGGGGGAAAAATTTTTTTTTCCTGTGATTCTTTTGGCAGCAAACATGAACTGACATACTACTTATAGTCCTATTTTATTCCACTTAGTAGTATGATTATCCACCCATTTCTCTGTAGAAATGTGTTTAATTACAGACTGCTGCCTAGATCTGCTTGAGGTGTTATGTAATATGAACAATATATACTCTGTGTTAGGCTTTCCAAATGTCCAGTAGAATTCTGGATTCTGAAAAATTTGGCCTAAATGTTTCAGATAATGTACTGTGAACCTGTAGCAAGACAATTCCTTTCTGTTCAGATTCCTAACTGTGCCTCTGGCTGGGTTTCTAGTAATGAGCACTAGCAATCCTCACATTGTAAAAACCAGGATAACTAAAATTCTCTAAGACTATTTTTGCTCATAATATCCTCTGAATCAGTAAGGTAAGTATCAATTCTCAAATAATAACTTTAAGAGTTCATAAATGCAATCTTAAAGGCAAGATAACAATCTTTTTTTTCCAAATATTGGAATGCAGCAGTACAGTGAATTTACCCCTGCAAATCCCAATACCAGCATTCAATGACAATGAAGCTCTCACCATTCACAATCTCATGTCCAAAAAACATCTTCACTCCTGGGACACTTCGACCAGTCTCCACATTCTTCACTGTCATAGAAAATAATTCAAATGGTTAATAAAAAATAATACTCCCTAAAACCATAAGAAAATATGATACCTCTCGAAAGTGCTCAATCTGAGTTTTATAAAAATCCCCAAGTTATTTCCCCCCCCAAGAATGAAGAGTCAGTAACAAATTGCAAAGCTATAGCCTTAAAATAGCAATATAAAGAACAAAGGGAACCCCAGAGAAACTAAAAGGGCCATGGTAGTGAATTTAAACTTCTCCAAAGAAGCCTTGACTAGGTAGCTCAGTTGGTTAGAGAATCATCCTGACACACTAAGGTTCTGGGTTCAATCTCCCGTAGGGGCACATACAAGAATCAAACTGTGGGAGGCAAAATGGCAGCTGTAGTGAGCAGCTGTCAAGGGATGAAAATAGGTATGCCTAGAAGCAAATTTTAAAAAAATATATATATTATTGATTTTTTACAGAGAGGAAAGGAAAGGGATAGAGAGTTAGAAACATCGATGAGAGAGAATCATCGATCAGCTGCCTCTTGCACACCTCCTACTGGGATGTGCCCACAACCCAGGTAGATGCCCTTGACCGCAATTGAATCCGGGACCTTTTAGTTCGCAGGCCAAGGCTCTATCCACTGAGCCAAACCGGTTTTGGCTGCTTAGAAGCAAATTTTAAAAGCATTTCCTCCTCAAATCTTTTTCTATACCACCTGATAAGCATCTTGATTCACTATGGCCATTTCAGCAGTGAAATGGGCAGTATCAAGCAAAACTATCTTGAAATATTTATTTCCAGTTCAAAATGGAGCTTTATCCTGTGTTTGTCATAAATCCACATACTCTTCTATTCCAGATGACTATAATTGCCAAGTAGAACTTGCTTTGACATCTGAAGGCAGGATGATAGTCTGCTACCATCCTTCTATGGATATTCCATAGGAAAACACCAAGCTTATCCCTCAGCCGGATCCTGTGCCTATAACTATGAAGAAACACAGGAACAAATACTGAAAAACAGATTAGAAGAAAAAGATAAACACTTTGAGCAAGAACCCATGATAGAACAACTTAGCAAAATGTTCTTTACTACTAAGCACCGCTGGTATCCTCATGGACAGTATCATAGATGTCATAGGAAACTGAATCCTCCAAAAGACAGATGACATGAGATTTTCAGTACTCAAAGAGAAATGCTCTCATGTGTCTCATTTGCCTTTTGAGAAGATGCAATCAGGTATATTCACTAATTTATACAGTAAAATAATGTCTTTTCATCTAAAAAAAAAAAAGAATCAAACAGTGAATGCATAAATAAGTGGAACAACAAATTGATGTTTCTCTCTACCCCTTCCCCTCTTTCTCTAAAAATCAATAATAAGCCCTAGGTGATTTGGCTCAATGGATAGAGTGTTTGCCTGCAGACTGAGGGGTCCTGGGTTTGATTCCAGCCAAGGGCACATTCCTGGGTTGCAGGCTCCATCCCCAGGAGGGGGTGTGTGGGAGACAGCCGATCAATGATTCTCATCATTAATGTTTCTATCTCTCTCTCCCTCTCTAAAATCAATAAAATATTTTTAAAAAATAAATAAAAATCAATAATAAGTAAAACTTAAACTTCTACCAAGAATATGCAAGAGCCTTTAGGGCTAAGAATTATATATATTTACTATATTTCCATTGGATTTTAGTCCACCTAACTCCAGAAAAATTTTCAGGTAGTTATTTCTAGAGTCCACACTCTGTTTCATGCTACATGCTCAAAAATACAAATTGTCAGGGATAACAATAAAATTCCTGGCCTTAATACAGGCCTCTTTTCTGAGCAGATAGGGGAATTAGGAGAAGAGATCTCATGTCTACAGTACGGTGTTATTTTTCTAGAAGGAAGTGCTCACAGCAGTTGTATATTTCCACATTTCTCAGCAATCCAAAATAATTGAGTTTCACCCTCATGAGTCTACTGAATATATTTTTACTGAGTTCAAAGATCACCAGCTGCCTATTTCTCAAATCCCCCCAAAACATTTATAGTATTAACATAC